AGTGTAAGTGTATGTGTGTGCGTGTCCATAGTTCAGCTGAGACAGTGTCCTTCGCCCTACCAGGCTAAGTAAACAGTCTACCAGCCAACCCAGGTGGCCTTGCATGGAGTGGGAAGGAACAGACTCAACACAGTCGTTATCAGGGAGTTTTTGTTCGGCTCCAGCCTTGAGCCCACAGCTGGCGCCAAGGGGATATCAGCATTAAATACACTCAAAATCCATCTTTAATTCTGAACCTCACAGGAAGACAACAAGTCCAAAACATTCGCAGGATAGCAGAACACAGGAGACAACAAAAGACAAAAGAATACTGAGACAGTATACACAAGATATTGAAGGGAGATGTAACAGGTGAGGACACAGATGACTCCACTATCAAAGTACTCAGAAGGAAGTTAAATTAAACCATGATGCCCTGGGATGTCCTATCCTGGGTTCAAGTAACGAACGGACTCTCTTTCCAGCGCCCTGGCATAGACTTTATCAGGGAGGCTGAGGAGGAGTGTGATCCCTCAATAGTTGAACACACCTGCTGTCCCCCTTCTTAAAGATGGGAACCATCACAATCCAGAGGTACCACCCCTGATCTCCACGCAACATTACAGAGGTGTGTTGATAAGACAGCCCTACAACATCCAGAGCCTTCAATAACTCAGGGCATCCACCCCAGGGGTGCATAACCAAGGAATTATTTAACTGCCTTAGTTACCTCGACAGTTCCCCACCCAAAGGTGCGGGGAACGAACCCTCTTGTCCTACGTACAGGCAGCAAGTCGATGGGATACTAGGATACCCACCCCAGCACGCCACCTCTCACCACGGGCAACTCCAGACTGAGACAGAGTCCAGCCCCTCTCCAGGACACTGGTTCCAGAGCTCAAGCCATGCGTTGAGGTGAGCCCGACTTTATCTAGTCGTGCCAAATTATGTATCTCTGACAGAAATTGTTTCCCCTGCATCGGGACCTTGGCACAACATCGGACGGGATTATTTCAATAAACCAATAACATTTTGACTGATCATTATTTGTATCCTTCAGTGACTATACAGAACTGTACTGAGCTAAAACCTCCAAAATTTCAGAAGCAATAAGTCTTTGGACAAGGGGAACAAATTGTGTCAGGATCACCCTGATATTATTTGTATCCCACTGTAACTTTACTGTATAAAGAGCTAATATCTCTCAAATTTCTGGAGTAGTTAGTCATTATTAGAAGTGTTTATGAACTAAAAATCATGAATGTGGGATACTGTTTGTCCATGATTTCAAAAGGCCAGTGCATGCTCCCGACGCAGGGGAAACCAATTCTTTCGGGGATACATAATTTGGCAAGACACCTCCACCACGATAAGATAGCATTTCGTGGAGGGGTCATCAGAATAAAACATCAGAATAAAACAGGAAGATCACCATAACTGAATGAGAACACTAAATTAACATGACACAGGAGACACTGAAAGAAAAAACACAGTGAGGATTCTAGAACAGAATGAAACACAAAAGGGAATTCATTAAATACTACTTAACCTAGGCACACATAGACCTCTGGAATATATAAATCGCATCCAGGAAAAATATCAACAATACAACCTGTGTCCAAGACTGACCACGACACTTAGCTCTTTCATATACACTAGTTTGGTGAATAGTTGTTAGTAGGCTCTGTTGAAAATGTTATGCATTATTGTAATTTGATCAGTGTGGCATTAAAATAGGTTACAGTATATACCACAGCCCCAGGCTCTATAAATCAATAACTTGGCAGGTCAGTCACATCATGTTCTATTTTGTCAGCTGATTGCTACAATGAAATTACGACACCACCTCAATGCACCGATCAGGTGATATTCTTTTAAAGACCTTTAGTCATGAATCAGAATCCATCATAGAACAGAAACAGTACCAATGAAGGTTATCAGTGATCTTCTTATGGCCTCTAACTGTGGACTCATCTCTGTACTTGAACTGCCAGACCTCAGTGTAGCATCTGATACTGTTGATCATTTACTGCAGAAATCAGAACACATCACTGGCATTAAAAGAAATGTACTGCACTGGGGAAAATTGAGAATCAAATCTATCTGATAGACTCCAATGTGTTCATGTAAATAGGGGGACTTCACACAGCAAAGTTTGTCATGGAGTTCCCCAGGGTTCTTTTCTGAATCAAGTGCTTTTTACATTAAACATGGTTGCCTTATAGGCAATTTTATAAAAAAACAAAGACATTTCTATTGCTATGCAGATGATACCCAGCTTTGTTTATTCATAAAGTCAAATAACACATATCCTACATAATTTCAGACAGGCTGAGATAACGCTGCTCAGCCATAAAAATCTTAGAAACATGGTGTCTAAACTGATACTTACTCTGGATGGTATCACTCTGGTCTCCAGTAACACTGTGAGAAACTTGGGGGTCAGTTTTGATCATGATATGTATTCAGTGTGAACATTAAACAAATATTTTAATGGTCTCCAAAATTAGAAACATTCTGCCTCAGAGTAATGCTCGACAGGGACTAGAAATCAAAATCACACTTCTTCCTTTTTAGCTTCTCTTCACTAGCTGCCTGTTAAATTCAAAATTGAATTTAAAATATTTTCATATACTAAATGCCTAATAAGAGAAACTCCAGCTTATCTTAAAAATTCAAATAAAGCTCTTCACTGTCAGACTGCATGCATACTTTTGGTTCCTAGATTTCTAAAAGTAGAATGGGAGGCAAAGCCTTCAGTTATCAGGCCCTTCTCCTGTGGAACCAACTCCCAGGGAGGGCTGGGTGAGGTGACTGTTTACAATCCATTATGCTGCAATAGGTTTAAGCTGCTGGGACAGGTTTGGCAGCAGACCATATTGAACTGGACAGGCAACCAACTTTGCTTAACCAGGCAATGAACAAAATAAGATATTATTAATTACAACTGTATATGCATAACACACTGTTAAATACTCCCAATTCTTTCGATCTTTGGGCTGAAGGAAGGACAATACTCGGTGTATAAATGCTCAATCAACAATTACTTTATTACATACAATACAACACTTTTGAGCATGAACCATCCGGATGGGGAGACATGCATGAAGAGGGACACAGCAAATCTCAAACTGGTGGAGGGTTACTCAAACTGGCCCCCACCTAGTCGTAAAAACCTAAACATTCACATTCTTTCTAACTCCTAGCGAGCTTGACTTATGGCCTTGGCTCCCTATTTTGTCTGCCTTCAACAATGGTGGGGGTGAAGCTCCCGTGAAATGTGCTCTCTGTCTCCTCTACTATCAGAAAAAGCAAAGTCCTGACTCTCTGAAAACAGTATTTCTTATAACTCAGCAGTATAATGCATCATAAACAATATCATTCATTCACACTGAATCAGCAGTCTAATGTAATACAAATCAGTTTAATAACTGTAATAGTTATCACCTTCTTCTAATTCAGGAGAATAATACAAACTAAAACTACAAAATAATTTCACAATCTTTAATTAGGGGCATAAGATAATATTATAATCCCACAACACTCATAGAGAAATGCAGCTACAGTAATAAATATAGCAGGCATCTCTTAATTGTAGACAACAGTACACCTAAATCATTGGATCAACTGGGTTTTCTTTGTACTAATATAGGGTCTTTACCATACAATCTAAAGCACTTTAAACCAATTGTTGTTGTGAATTAGCACTATATATATGAAGCTAAATTGAATTAAATTCATAGACATTAGTAACCACATTCACTCTATGCACTCCATGTGTGGACTTCAACAGCATAACCTCCTATTAACTCTACAGTATCACTTGTGCTTTTACTTACGTGCTGCAGTGTGCATAACTGCTGGTGTTTTTCCTTACTTCTTATCATTAGCATAATCCTCTGTCATCCCCCAAGGTAAAACTACAACAGTTATTGCTACAGTATTTGGCCGTTGTGTTCCTGGCACAGACTCTTTGAATCAGCAGGAAATTTGCTGCTCCATCTGTCATCTGTTTTGTATCAAATATATCAATATGGGAATATGGAAGGATGAACTTGTAGAGACATGAAGGGTGTTGGAACAGTGCAAAAACACAGTCAGTTCCAGATATCACCTTATAGTTACATCACCATGTCTGCTAAGGCTTTTTAATTCCTTGATGAACCCCAAACTCACCGATATTTGCTTATCTGGTTAAAACCAAACTGGACTTTGCACTTTCTCAATTACATGGCCCACATCTGCAGAAAGATAACACTCTAAGAGTATTTGTACTTTGAGTCCGTTTACAGCTTTTATATAATCAAACTTTGGATTGCTTGCTTACTTCAATATGGCTCCTAACAAGGTTACCGAATGTACTTTCAAAGTATTTTTTTTCATTAGACTCTTTTGCTGTTCTTAGCCTTACTGGTTCTCTGCACTTTAGCATTTTCCCCTTTGTTGTTTTAGTGATTTAAATTCCTCTTTCAGTGGAAGCATATAAGAACTTGAGTATTATTTACTTGATCTCTAAATTTCTGTACTATTCATTACTCATGAAGCTTTGTTTATCTTATCATGCTTATGCATTAAGCTGCAGCATTCCTCAGTTGTGCCAGATATGCATATATGCATGGGCCTTCCCTACATGTTTTTCTGTGACTTTGCAGAAGCATGCTGGACACCCACCAGAGTCCCGCCCTGTGTGTTCTGCAGAAAGTAAGAAAGAGAATTGCACAATCTTCTTCCATATTTTGGCTTCATAATATACCTATATATGATATGTTACATATTAACAAATCAACAGCTTTGATTTACAAGTCAAATGCACACACTATCTCCAGCACTTACATAAGATAGGCAAAAAAAATTTGTCCTCACACATTCCTTAAGGTCCCTTTAAGGACAAACTACCCTTTGGAAACTGTACATGTGCCATTATAAACATCTGTGTCCTGTCAGCAAGCAGATTTCATGCACTGTGACTTTTTAACTTGATAAAAGTGTGATGATCAGCATACTGCTGTGACTGAACTTTGTCCTCCTTCCTGATAGAAAAACAACAGGGAGGCTATATAAGGAGGGACAGAGGAGGAGGAGGCTTGTTTTTGTTCAGAGAGTTGCAGCCACGCAGAGCTGAACAGAGGGTAGGAAACTTTTTAACCAAAGGGTAAGTAACAACATTTATTATATTCTGTTAACTTACATAAAGTAAAGACCTATAAGTCAATGTTTAACTGCTGCAATAAGTAAACTGTTAAAAAACAAAACCAAAAAACCCCCCATTAGAAACCAGACGTTGGGGTATTTCGCAATATAGAATTTTTTGATGAGTGCGCAGGTTCTCTCTGCATAAACTACAACAAATATTTTGCTTGAACTTTTCTGCTTGTCATATATTGTAGAACAAATTTTTTAATATAATATTCAGTCACAAATCCTCTTAAGTTATATTTTTATATTACTTTTTGTATTTACTGCATCACTGGACTAAAATTTGTGTTGCAACACCAGTGAAAACTTCATAAAAGTGCTCTGCTCACTCTTACTAATTGCACAGATTTTGATATATACCCTATATCAAGTCCAGAAAGATTCCTAGTATGATATGAGGAATGTAAAAATTGAACACCTTCTCTGACCTTTTGTACTAATAGGCTGTGTTTTTCTGCTGAGTTTCATGCATTTCTTTCTGTTCCTTTCTGTTTTTTCTACCCTGTTCCTCTCTGAAACTAAAGTTGGGGCAGTAAGGAGGCGCCACAGAAATGTGGGCAGGCCTCAGTCTGCTCCTCACTCTCTGCCTGCTCCATGGGGGTGGGGCAGAAAGTGAGGGGGGAGGGCCCCGCTGTCAGCCACCTTCAGACTGGAGGATAGGAGACGTGGAGCCTATGAAGGGGTCAGTAGGTCGAGTGACGGTAGTGGCCCTTTTACAGGCCAGCTGACTGTTCTGCTTGGTGCAGGCTTCCAGGTATGTGCCCGTCATATGACAATGGTTGTATATCACACTTCTTATTATTTATAACACAAAAAGTGTCATGACAATGGATCAGCCCTGTGGCAAAGCACAAGGGACTGTTAACTGAGATATTATAGGAGATTTTTAAATTTGTTAAAACTGTCAAAGAAATCTTTCTATTCATATTCATAGAAGACATTTTTACTTTGACATATTGCTTTGATACTGATTCCCAATGCTCTTCTTTTGAGCAGACTAGATGGCCTGCAGCAGAAGCTGGAACGTCAGGGTCTTAAGAATGTGGTCTACATGGTCGTTAACCACCAGGGGGAGCAATCACGACATCTGCACCCTTTGCTGGAGGCCAAACTTTCCAAGAACATCATACTCTACAAGCAGGACGGGCAACAGCCTGATGTTTGGCAGACTCTGGCTGGAGAGAAAGATGACTTTTTCATTTATGACAGGTTTGACATGAAGTGGAAAATTCAGTCACATTTTTCTGGAAAAACCAATAGAACATTGTAATTTTGGACAACATATCTCACCTCCACAAGCCTAATCTTACAATGCTTTTCTGTCCCTTTGCAAACAGGTGTGGCCGTCTAACCCACCGCATTTCACTTCCATACTCCATCATTGGACAGGGCCATATTGCGCAGGCAATCAAAGACACCTACTGCAAACGCCTATGTGGCGACTGCACACATGAGGTATAGATCAAATCTAACAGAGTTGTTTTTTAAGTGAGGTAATATGATCATCATATTATAATTGTTTAATCAGAGGCAAGATCTTAAACTGAATCTCTGCTTGTAATTTCAGAGTACTGAGATCCCAGAGGAGTGCAAAGATAATGCAGAGGTCCAGCCTGATGTCCCAGCTGAACAGGACGACACCAGACATGGTCATCACCATGGTCATGGTCATCAGAATGGTCACGGTCATCAGAATGGTCACGGTCATCAGAATGGTCACGGTCATCAGAATGGTCATGGTCATGGTCATCAGAATGGTCACGGTCACGGCCACCATGGGGATAATCACGATGTTCATCCTCGTGGCTTTGGCCATGGCAGTGATCACAACAATGGCCATCATCATAGAAATCACAATGGTGCCGACCAGACACAGCACGGTGTTAGACCACATGGGCATTTCCATGAAGGTGACATGCCTCAGACCCAGCATCATTTTGATTTAGGCCAGATTCCCCAGGACGTGCACAATCAACAGGTGGCACAGGAGGCTCATGCAGTCATTGAAAGGCCTTGATTATCTAGGAAGAACAGGTGAAAGTTAAAGTACAACTGACAGGGTCTGACGGGCTCTGACAATGAAATTAAGAGCAGCTGATGCTGACACTGACGCAGGCTGTTTGGCGAGGCAGGGAGTGAGCAGCCAGTCGGTCTCTGACACTGTGATGAGGCGTTACCCACCTCCTGACGGTGACACGGGCTGATAGGCGATGCAGTCAATGACGTTAGGGAAACCTGACAGTGACGCTTGCCTCACGCTGCCTGACAGGAGCCTCAGCCAGCCCAGTGAGCCTGACCCCCAGGTGTTGTTAGCTGAGGATGAGAGCAGCTGTAAGCTGGTTCTGATGTCAGCTTCATATTAACACCAGTCAGCAACACCGGGGCCAAATGCTCTTTTTACCAACAAGTATTACCCTGAGAGAGGAGGGTGGGCATTCCTGACAGTAGAGCAATGGGTTAAATTGGAGTCAAGCAGCTATTGTGAGCTTATCATTGAAGTAATTTGAATATGATTTAAAGAATATCGCAATTTTAACTATCTCAATGTATCTGTCAGTGGGTTGCCCTCCTCCTTTCTCAGGAGTGTATGTGATTGTCATGTTTTCAAATTAGCCCCCCCATTATGTTTTTTCCATCCTTTATGAAACCAGATGCAGAAACTATGATCTAGTGGCGTCTGTATGATGTCAGGCTGGAGAAAAAGGAGAGGGTAGTTCAAAACATGATAAACGCTTCAAAGTTTTTAAAGTTCAGAAGTAGAAATGACACAAAAAACTGCAAATAAAAGTGAAAGTAATTTAGAGGAAATAGTAAACAAGAGCATCACAGTTTATGAATTAGTTAAAAATATGTCTTAAGGTTGTATTTGCCTTTTTATTAGGGAAGTCCAATAGCACTGATCCATTACTGAGGAAACCCCCTAAAAGACATTTAAATAAATCTAAAAACTATAGACCAATCATTTTTTTGTGGGGCATTCTATCGATTATCATTCTTAAGTACATATATAACAGCAGTAACTAACACATGTTTTGTGCACAAGCTTTAACATATCTCAGGTGTGACCTTTTTCCATAAGAGAAAATCTTCAAATTTTGAGTACTAACAGTACAATTTATTCTTTCACTTTTCTTTTTACCAAATTTGGTATTTAGCCTTCAGAGTTCACACATTGCTACAAGGCTTCTTTTCTTTTCTTTTTTTTTGAAGTTCAGGAAGACAGCAAGGAAAACGAGAGTAAAGCAATGAATGACTGTTTGAATACGCTCTGTTCTTAGTGATGGTTTCAGTGGGAAGACATCAGTCACCCTGAAAACCTGAAGATCGGACAGAGAACTGTATTGGAATTGTATGCAAGGTGAAAAATGAGAGTTGAATAAAGATGGCTCAATTACTCTTCTAGTTTTCGAGTATCTTCTTTTTTTCTTTCAGTGTATATATTACATGTGAATGAGGGGGATCATATTAGCTGCAATATAGTATCCTGTCCCATTTAATTCAGTAGTCACAGCTGATACTGTTTACATCAAAACAGTGCTCATACATTAAAAAAAAAAACATTGATCTTCCTTACACCTTCATGTGGGCAATTTACAACATAAGGAAACGATTCTCTCACTAGAAGAAGTAATGGACTATTTACTGAAACATGAATAAAAAAGGAAGTCTGCTAAAATGGTGTGATATCTGGCTTTCCTCATTTCCATAGGAAATGGAAATATTCTCACTGCCTTCCTCTCTCAGCTCAAATATGAGTGGTGCTGCCAGGTAGGTTTAAATGTGAGAGTATTTTTATGATTGTATGGTTGTCTGTGTTAATCCTGTAATGGACAGGAGGCCCATCCAGAGGGTACCCACCTTTACAAAGCTCAAGGGAAAATGGAAAAGTGAAGATACTAGATGTCACATAAAACATTACCTAGTAAAAGTAATTTTATTATGGAAATTATGATACAAATAAACATCGCTTTATAAGAAAATATAGGTAAATAATACTATTAAACACATTAGCCTATTAGCCTAAAACAGTTAAAAATCACTGTTGAAATGATTGGGAAATTCTTAAATGTTATCATTCCACAAACAAGTAATAATAATAATAATAATGGATTGGATTTATATAGCGCTTTTCAAGGCACCCAAAGCGCTAGTATGAACATACTCTATTAAAGTTTCTTGTTATGTAATAATGTAGTAATGATATTTCTGATGCAGTCATGTTTATCCGTTTATCCCCTGTTATCTGTGGTTACCACTACACACACACACACACACACACACACACACACACACACAAATAGTCTCCGACTAGATGAAAACTGTCATAAAGTTGATAAGCTGGCTCAGGACACTGAGGAGTTCCTGATTTAGAGAGTGGGATTTAATGTTTCAGCAACTCAGAAATCTGTGAGTAGATACTTTTTCCCTTTAGATGATCTGGAGATGATTTCTGTAAAAAGTGTTTTCACTGTTTTCCCAAATATGTATCAGCAGGTGGCGATAAAGATCTAGACAATAAACCACCACTACACCACCATTGAGCCATCGAGCTGATGTGTATACTGTTGAAGCCCTTCCATTCATACAGATTTGATAGAGCCTTTAATTGACAAATTCACTGACAAATCCTCCCAAATTAGCATTTTTCATACATTTCATACAATGAAATAAAGGGACTTCTTAGGTTATTGGGTTACTCTCACATTTTCAAGGATCAAAGTGTCTGTTTCTAGTTTCCTGCAACATATCGACAAATGTGCAGAAGCAAAGCACACATCGCACTCCCAGTTTATGTTATGCAATTATTTATTTGGCTAAAGGAAAACACTTTGCTTGCACATGCTGATGACACGCTTACATTTCTGGTTTATAGTGATTGCACTGATGAGTTCTTGTTGGTTTGGCATTGTATGACTGTTTGCTTGTTATTAAAATAGCTTTAGATGCAACAAACATTAACAGAAGTGTCATCTAGAAGAGGGGCACCTTAAGCTCATCTTTCTATACTAACATTGGTGTAATGATGCCAGTGTCCAGCTCCAAAATCTGTGAAATTATCTCAAAGACTTAAAGCACACCAGCTTCTGTTCAGTGTTATAGCTGAATTGCCTGTTGGACTGTGTGTCTGAAAAGGTCAACAAGCAACCGGAGGTAATAAATGAAGCTGAGGTGGACTGCTTGTGTGGGCGTAATTGGGCTGAAGATCCAATACAGAGGAACAGTGACTTATGGGTAATTACCTGCAATGTCCTGAGACAAAGAGCTGTGAGTGGCTGTCTCTCTGATTCAATCAGCCCCACACAGAGCTGGGCAGTACACAGCCTGTCTTAATTGTCCGATATGCTTTCCCCTCGATGCACGGATGCACAACGTTTCCTGCAGCCGTTTTCTCTCCATTTATACCGGCAGCGACAGAGACTCACACGCTTGTGAACTCATTCGCACAAAGTTCCTCTGTGTTTCTCACAAACAAGCGCACATTCTTCCCACTCCAACTGCCACACATACACGGATGTAATTCCAGTGTTCATCTCTGTCAGACACACACACGGAAATCTGTTTGCATTTAAACTCTAAGACCACATTGGGCAGCAAATTTTCTTCATTAACAGCCTTCTTCTGTCACTCAGTGCTGATCTGAGCTGACCTTTACTGTGCAGTATGCACTTTCAATGCTATTATACTTTTAATGACACAGCTGGCAGTGGTTTTGGGAGGTCTTGTGAAGAGCTTGTTGAGCTGCATCTTGAAACGGAATTAGTCATAAACACTGTTGTAAATTATCTATAATAAGTAACACGATCTCGATAACTCGGGGAAATCTAATTTGTCTAGTTTACGTTTGCATTTAAAACGCTAGATTAGTTGAAAATAAAATAACTGGTCCAACACACAGCGTACAAATTGGAGATGGAGTTAAATGCAGCTTAGAAAGGCGCTTCGTAAACAGCATTAGCAGTTAGATTTGCCTTTGAAAACGTTTTTATTTTTTCATTCTTGAAGACAACACGACAAAAATAATGACCAAGATGCTGTATATTTATTTTGTAACTTGTCGAGAGCTTATTGATCACATATACAACATCAGAAAGGCTCAATTGGCAAGAGAACAATATCAAATAAACATCACAAACAAGTTCTTAGCCCCGAGTAAAACAGCAGCCAACAGACAAGGACAGCGGCTCCAAGGACGGAGGGGGTGGGTGTGAGGGGTTTGTGTCAAAATATGAAGAAAACAAGCCAATGCAAACCGAAACGTCATACTTGAGACCACAATGGTGATGGGTCTGATTTTGGCATGCAGAACATTTCCAGCTTTATTAATCAAGATGACAACACTGCAGCGAAAATATTACTCATGCAGCACCATTCACAGTTAATTTGGCTAAGGTGGTGGGGCAGACAAATAAATAGCACATGGAAGGAAAGAGAGTGAAACCACTGAAGGTCATTAAAAATCAGACTGTATACCGCTGTACTCAAGTCAAGAATGAAAGTGTTTCCTCAACAAGCTGAAAAATGTGTGGCTCGGTGCTCTTTGCTTGATAACGAGCAACAACCAGCACAGATTCCAGCAAAACTACTTCCAGACACTGTAGAACGACAAAAGCCACACTTGGACTGACAGGCTGGGGGCTAAAAGGCATCATTATAAAATATTTTACCCCCGTCAAAAAATGCACTTTCAAATAATGAAATGCTGAAATCACATAGCGGGAGGAAAGTCCGAGCACAGAGTTACAATATACCTATTCACTCTGCCTCTTTTTTGATATGACTTCATTAAAAATCTGCATTTATCTATCTATAAATCTTATAGCAAATATTAAATACTCCATTACAATACATCTTTCTAGTAATCTGTTAAAAGCAATCTGTGTAAAATACGTTCTTTAAACAAAACTGAAGCTTATCGACACTGATACTGTTCCTCACTTTCTGATTACTCTGCTGACTAGAAAATATATAATACTAGTTTATAGCGCTGTTTTTTTTCACTCACTTGATACAAAATATGTCTACATCAGATATATATTGTACGTGTACAAAGTGCTTCTTCTAAAGTGTCTGTAACATTTATAAGCTTGAAATAACATTTGAAATGTAGTAAACATTTGCACAGCTTGAAGAAAAGAAGCACCTCCCAAATATTTCTATCGTACTGTAACCTTTAAAAAACACTTTAACAGATTTAACTTTTTTTTTCTTCCTTTTTTTCCTTTTTCCACATTTCAGTTTGTACACTTTTAAAAATCACCATGGTACAACTGATACAGGATCAAAACAGTGCTTTTCCCATGATCTGATCTTCCTTCATAAAGTCAGAGAGCCTTCTGGGGGTCTTTGGATGAGTGTAAACACTGTGAAAGATTCTCGGGGCGAAACGGTCACGTTACAATGCTACTGATTACGGACGTCGCCTGCAAAACACTTACGTACATGTTATAATGATCGTTGCGCTCTCTCGACTGACACCACAGTAAGGCTCAATGCGGGAAATATACATGCACTGAGCAGCAATATATTGTGGCTACTACTAATGACGCAAAATATATATGCTTGTAATTTTACAGCAACAGTCAATATATTAAGACTTTTCTGCAACAGCAAGGACTCGCTGGGATCATTCGCGCCAGGCTGCAACGACATAATGCTGAGATATAAAGGCGAGATAGAGAGAAGTGGCACATATTTATCAGATTCCCATTAAAAAAAATCATTTTATGGCTCTTGCATTGCTATGAGATTGTCAGATTAAAAGGCATATATTATCTGACTCATCTATCCACTTATCTGTATTAACGATGTATTTCTATGCTGGATGTGCTTCCTTTGCTCTGTAGAATACATTTGTGTTATGGTGAGAAAAGCTCATTTGGAGGCTGCCAAATGGAGGTTGTTCAGATTCAGATTGATTTCACCCACATTGTGCGCATGCGCCATTAGCGTGCTGCCTGCTGTAACCCTAATTTCCTTCGGGATTAATAAAGTATTCTGATTCTGATTGTATTGCAAAAATCCCCCAATTCCCAGGACAAATTTATTGTAAACATTATAAAGATATCTAACTTATTAAGCAACAATATATAACTGAGCTTTTCTTGGGGAGGAATGCTCGCAGCTACATACATGTCAGTTTGCAAGTGGTCAGTACAAACTTTCATAATCACTTTGGATTTGAAAGGTTTTGTGAGCATGATTAGCAGGATGCTTATTGTGGTTTGCAGCTGATAAACTAGGTGAACGAGGCAAAGACTAAAATATGATTAAGGGAAATAGTTTTACGCATTATTGTCTTGTATGCATGCACGCACGTGCGTGTTGCCGTTGCAGTGCTTGTGCAGATTTTTAAAAGCGATATCTCTGCACAGTTCACCTACACTGTCCACTTCTAGATCTTGCCTGCACAAAGCAATGCATAAATGCACAAGTTGTGATTGCATAAACATAGTACCATAGCACAGAACTGGCAAGCCACTTATAATATTATAGGCACAGGCTGTTAACACTTGGCAGTTAATAGGTAGAAAGATTTAGCTAATTACATTTAAAGTATACTTTCACAGTCTTTCAGCTTGCTTCATTTACACCAGAGGAATACAAACCCCAAGAAGAAAGCTTGAGCATTATGGTTTAAGTTAAAAAAAAATACGCTGCCCTAGTCTCTCTGAATTGCTAGCTGTGTGCATGTGTCCCTTTCTCTCCGGTAAACTACTTAATCAACGTGCCCTTGAGCAAGGCACTTGGTGGTGCTCTGTAACGTATAGCCTAGTTTTCTCCCAGCTGTGAGTGAAACTGATAGAATTCTTCCTCATAATACAAGTGCTGCACTTCAGTGCAACGTATGAACTTGGCGTCAAAATTAAATGTCAATAAATAACCTAAAAAAAACCCAAACAAACCACACAATGTATATCAGCGTGTGATATTCAATTAATTATGGGTACTAGTCCATGAAGTGTTTTAATTTCTCTACTGTGTCTACTTATGTGTAAGTTAGTGGTTTCCTTCATTTCCCAGATTTCCTTTAAGCACTTTCCACGAAAAGAAAGAGGTATAACTGTGACTGGACTAACTTTAATTTGCTGTTGGTGTTTGTTGCCCTGACTTTGGTATCTCTTGTGTGTGTATACGCGTGCTGGATGTTTTTTTCTATTTGTTTAAAGCATTAAACATTCTATTGAACTAGAGGTTAAGAGGAACATAGCTTGACATTATACGACCTCAATTCCATTACTTACTCTGAAAATATGAACAGCTACCTTTTAGATAAAATGAAGACTGGAATGCAAGCTAAATCTGGATAGGTATTGAACAGTGTACTTGGTTGTTTTTTTTTATAAAAAATATATCTCTAGTGAAGTGCTAATATGATATGATGAGATAAGAACGGTCTATTGATAAACTGATAAAGTACCTCGTGGGGTAAACAGCATCACCGCCAGCAATGACCTTTGTTTGGTGTGAAAACTCACACCATCAGTCATGCACTGAAAGCACTCTGTAAAATTAAGACTGTAACAGTGTCATTGCTCTGGACACAATAAGCCAGAGATACAATGCAACACAAGGCAGTTAAGCATTGATATTATGTTTGCTTGGCTCACTGTAATCATGCATGGATGCATGAGATGCTGACGAAACAGAGCAAACTGTGCATTTGGTTTATGATGTTAATATTTGGCTGCCTCAAAAGAAAGAACGCCTTTAGCAGATGCAAAGAAGTTAAGAGAGTATCTTGTAGCCTTTTATATCTGCCTTTCAGCATCCTCTGAAAATAGACACCCGTACACATCTCAGCCGCCCAGTGTGCTGGGAGTTACTTGGTTTCCAACGGGTATCGGTTAGGACGACTGCGGGTAACTTCCTGGTGAATCAGCCTTACATGTAAAGGTCTGATGTCTTTGTCATTTCATTGTGAGAGGTTTCCCAGCAGGTCTGGGGTAATGTACCCCACAGGCATAGGTGCCTTGAGTGGGTGCTGTGGCAGGCAGGAAGGGGGGGTCTGGTGGCTAGGCAGGTTAAGGAGCAGACTGTGATGACTGTCTAACTCCTGAACCACTGTGTAGTCTGCAACAGGAGCAAAAAACTGGGGGGAGTCAGGAAGAATGTAAGGCGACTGATTAACCTCCGTTGTGGCTGCAGGTCTGGGCTCCACTGGCTGAGGATGTATGATGTGGTACCCCTCACCGGGCATGGGAGAGCTAGAGGGAGGAGTGCTGATTTGCTGGATACTGCTCTCTGTACTGAAGGCACTTCCTTCTGGATCCACTACTAGCAGCTGAAACTGTGGCTCTTTTTGCTTCCGTTCCTCAGACTCCTCACTGTCTTCACTCTCTTTCCGCTTCTTTTTTGTCTCCTTCTCGGCGGCTGAGATGCTCTCCTGGATTCTGAGTTGCTGTCCAGGAGACAACACCACACCACCAGAGGGCATAACATTGCTAACCTGAGCATAGAAGTCTGTGTTGACCCAGGTCTGGGGCCCTCTGGTTTGGGTTTGGATGAGCTGTCTTTCACCTGTCTCAGAGGCTGAGGATCTTTCTACAGTATCAAGGGAGGTTTCCTCTTCATCAGGTTGTCCTGGTAGAAGCGTGGCCATCAGCATTAGTGTTTCTTCTTCAGGGAGATCTGTGTTGTAACAGGTGGCCTGGGCGGACTCAGCATCTGGACCACTTGAGGAGAAGCCAAAAAAACAAGAAAGGCAAAGAAATGAGTATTCACGGAGCTATTTGATTAAACAAATAACACCTTTAAATGTAAATCTTTGCCATACCTGATTGAATTAGAGCAACTTATGTTGATGTGTTGACTGACAGGTTGGGACTGACCCAGGAGTTTCTGGGTGTCTGAGCCCCGGTTATCCTCCTTTTCTCCACTATCTACATCCTCTGTCTCACTGACCTCCATGAGCTCCACCCACGGCTCATCTTGGTAGAAATCTGGTGCATAAATGGGCAGGCCATCCATTCCTCCACCACTCAGCATAAAATTCAGCTCATCCAGCTTCCCCTTCTGCAAGTGTACAAACAAGTGTTCTGACATTTAGGCTCCAGAAATTGACAGTTTCCTCTGTAAAACACTCTGACTTTGCACACTTACGTCTAAAATTTTAAACCCAACAAAAAGTGTATGGCAGCTTGGTCTACTCACAAATTAACAACGTAACTTATTTATTAATTTACATCAGGATTTTTTTTTTTAATTGTTCAGAGGTGAGATTGTTTTGTATGGCTTTTAAATGCACTCTGTGAATAATACACCCACAACACAATCCTGAATCATGATGCTCTTTCTGTCTAATTCCCTCTGAGTGGTCCTTATGTCCATTTTTTCTTGTTATTTATATTCAGTTTTGTTTCACGTTTAATTGGTGGTTGAGTCAGATGATAAACTGGTAGTGAGTGTGAGAGAGAGACGAGGGAGTGATGTGGTGATTTTGTGACCTAACACATCTCTACAATATGAGCCGCACAGACAGACAGGAGTCTGTTTTCTATCCAAATTACAATTGAAATATAATTTTAAAAATGTGATTACACAATCCCTTATATAATGATTTTACTTCCAAACATTGCCTTTTTTTAAATCTGATTAAAATACACAACAATTTTGATCCCCCTCTGACAGTCACGCTACTTGACTGCGGGGGTCTAGCATTTGCTTGAAAAATCACAGACCAGAAATACCTTCAATAGCTCTGAATCGATGCCTTTGATTTTGGGTGCAGGAACAGGCGGCAGCAGAAATATCATTAATCTGCAATGACAGAAGAACGAGAGAGAAAGAGAGAGATGTGCACCTGTGATTTAGCAAATGTCTCATTGTTTCACAGATGTTTTGGACACCACAGATGCATGAAAGAGAGGGAGTGCGTGAGTGCTCGTACCGGTTCTGCTGAGAGATGACTATGAGCATGATGAGTATGAGGATACCCACAGTCCCAAATACAAAAACCAGTGTGAGATGGACAGGAAACTCTAAGAAGCAAAATGAAACAGAACTCGTCATAATAATGATGACAACCAGTCCTCTGGCTTCATCAATCATACTGTGTTAAATGCTCAAAGGAAAAAAAAAACAGTTTGCAGTTCACCAAAAATGCATTGCATCATTCTAACACATGCGTTACCTGTGCTAGGAATCTCAGTCACTTGAATGAAGATGGATTCACTGAACTCGCCAAATTTAATGAAAACCTGCATCCTGCAGCGGATGTGTACTTCATATTCTTTTCCTAAGTGCAGACCGTAGATTGTCTGATGAGAGTGTGGCTGAATCTCCAACTGAAAATTGCAAAAACAGACAAACCTTTTGTAAATTAAAAAAAGAAATGATGATGATGTGCTTAAAAAGAATGATGCAGCTATCCTGACAGAAATAGTAACAACACCAATGCTAAAGGCTGAGTAAGAAAAGGAGGGTGTCAAGAGGTCCGTTTTTATTTTTGGCACCTGTAACTACACAATTACTGATGCACTTCAGATAGACTGGATAGATGACATGCTATTATAACAGATGGACGTGAGGTCCCCAACCATCAGGCAAGCCAAGCGGTAATGAATACGAGCCTGTACACAGTCCCATGGCCTCTGACCTACAGATCCCTCCCTTCTCTTCCTTCACAGATGCTAAGGCCTTGCTCTGGCTTTCACAGCCTTGCCAGCAAAGCTCCAACTGCATTTTAACTACAAGTGTTCAGGGGGGAGGGAAAGAGAAACATAACACTCTGCTTCGATGACCTACAATTCATTTTTAAGAGCATGAGATTTTCTTTTTTTATTTGTGTTAATGTGCATGTGCAAAATCTGCTTTTGTCAATGTGAGGAACTGTGTGTAAAAATAAATAATGGGCAAGATTATTAAAAAGTTAGGAATAAAAGACTTACTGCTTCCCAGTTTGTGGTATTTCCCTCTCTGTACTGCAACTCATACTCCAAACGCATCCATCCCAACCTAACATCAGCAGTAGGTGGGGACTCCCAGTTAACCATGACATCATAATTTAGCCTGGAAGGACTTATAGTCAGCAGGGTCCAGTTTAAAGACACTGGCGGGTCAGGACGTACTGTCAGAGAAAAGGCAAAAGTTCATATTCGAACAGAAGGAAAGGACACTTCTAGTTACTGATTTGGTATGCTAATTTAGGATCACATAAAAAAGGTTAACAGAATACTAAAAAAATACTGCTTATGTTCAAAAGGTCAATATCTGTTCAATCCAGACTGTGTCACTCCCTTTACAAAGATTAAAACATTTAATTCCATTTAACAGATTTAAAACTAAATGATCAACACGTTTTGTTTTTCTCTTTTTTCTTCATTAATTTAACACGATTGATGAGGACATAAGGACAAAGCAAAGAAGTGAAAACCTCCACGAAATCATAATTATTAAAGAAGGAGTCCTCCCATCACATTACATTTGTGTAAAACATTGATATTTTGAACTGAGACTGGAGCAAACGCAAGCAATATTGATTGAAACTGCACAGGTCTGATTTGATATTATCATGAACACATCACAAATAGATATTTCTTTGGTATAACTGGAAACGTTGGCCATAAAGAAGAGGGGGAGAAGGCATTTTAAACAATGTCAAGAATCATCTGGAGCTGATTCAACAAGTAGTTGCTACGCTCCTTCTATAAACAAAGAGGTTTGGAAGAATAAGCAGCAACTAAAAGCCTGACCCTACTACAGGTCAAGTGTCTAAGACAACATCCACAATTAATTTGTACTCATAAAAAGAACAAACAAAGATCTTTCCATGAAGAAGATGTCAGGCAACATATGACGTTGCCATATGATAATATATTGCTTGTCAGCATCTTCTAGACTCAAAGTATTTACCACTTAAGCACTGTTTATCTGACATAAGTCCAAAAACAAGTCGAATTTCCAGGTATCCTTCTGCACGAGTAATTCATTGAACTAGAAATAACCATTTTGTGCTGTGAAATATGAATATATAATTACATATGAATACATTAAGTAACATCTGTAAAGATCTCCTAATGCTACAAAGGATTTTTACAGACAACCTGAAAATGTGAAACAGTAGGATGTCAAATTTGCTGATAAATCAAAACTTTTTAAAAAATCTGTAAATATGCACAAATCTTGGCTACTAACCAATATTCTCCACCCTGAAACAGTCATCTTCATTGAAATAGGTGATGTTGTTTTGAGTGCGAAGCTGCATGCAGTAAGTGATCCATATGGATGTGTGATGTGCATCAAAGAAACATTCCCTATTTGAATGGATATACTCGGGACACTCCTTCCACTGGCTTGTAGGAGACCTGAATGAGTGAAACAATGGCAGAAGAAACATAAGAAGAAGTAAAAAACTAAATTCTTGTCAAGTAAAGGTTATATCATCATTAATGGAGCTCACTGATTCACACAAAACAATGTGCCTACGTGAAGTTTTCTACAAAACAAGCAATTATTAGGATTTCTGAGAGTATAGCAAGCATTTTGGAGATTACACTTACTCTTTTTTAAGGTAGAAGACTCGGAGTGCTCCAGGGGAGGAGAGGTTGTGGAAGGTGCCAGGACTCCACCAGCAGCGGAACGTCTCCTGGTCCCTTGATATACACTCAGTAAAATGAGGCTCAATGAGAGCTGAAAGACAGAGTTAGAAGAGCAATGATTAGAAAGGAAGTGAGACTGCATTAGGATAATGAATCACCTTTATTAACATCTATCAGCGTCTGCAGGGGCTTTGCTTTATTGGTCTAACAATACAGAGATACACGGTCTCCTAGGGGCCCGCTATCAATTTGAAAATCATTGCTGTGTTTTCAAATTATCAAATGCGCAAGATTTTCAGAAAGCTTACTCTGAACTTGAGGTCAAGCATACTGAGATTCAAAATCATCTGAGATATTTAGTAGATGCACCTTTAGTATCAATTTCATATGGAGCCCTTCAAAGGACATTGGAGAAAAAAGTTTAAGATGTATTTTTGCGAGAGCCTGAGTTACTTGTGCGAGATCCCGCAAAAGTTTTTGATTGAACTCCAAGCACTTCCAGGTCAGTAATGAGACCTTGGAAACCACAGTTATGGAGGACATACACCCGTGGGACAGATGAATAGATTTTTAGTTTGAGCTTGGCCTAAACTATGAAATTAGATCAGTGCTTGACAGTAGAGACTGTTTTTATAAGTGAGAGACATCTGAAGAGGGTCCTTAGTGCAAGAGGACACACTCATCTGAAGGAGTACTCTGACCTGGCAGTCTTGGCTGAATTCATTAACAGCCAGCTGCAGTACTCGGGTACTGATAGATGCGCGGAAAAAGTCTTTCTCAGGATCTCGCAAAACTTTTTCGGGACTCTGCAAAAGTAACTTGAATTTTCGCAGAAGTACATCTTCTTTTTTTCCCCCCACCAATATTCCATTCCTTGAAAATCCTACTTCGCCTTGTTCTCTAGTTATAAACTTCACGAGATATTCAGAAACCTTGACCTTGAGGTCACTGAGGTTCTAACTCATCTGAGATTTTTAGCAGATGCACCTATAATATCATTTTGAAGCTCCTATGTCTCCTTGTTCTCGAGTTATAACATTCACAAACTTTGCGCCACTTGCCCATCCGTCCTCTTGCCCGGTAGTGTGACACCAATGCTGCATGAGCCTTTTACAGCTCAGTCACCTTTAATTGCACTAATATCATGACTTCTGGTGGTGTCAGACATCACTTTTTCACGGAAAGGCTGAGTAAACTTGCTGAAATCTAATCTTAACCTCAGAATTGCAGAAACTTGCCACAGTTGAAAACAATAAAAACACAACAGATAATAGCACCTTAAGGTTACAATCCACATTTAAAGACTATCAGATGAGCTCTGGGTATTAAGTGTAATCCTGCATTATTTGTACTCAAAGAGTTGCTAGACAAATGGAAAATGCTTCCACATGATTTCTGAAACAATGCACAAATACAAACTTGCAAATGTGCCAGAAATATTTTATTCCTTTCTTTTAACAACTGCTGCTGCTACCCTGTGAATCCCATGAATATCATTGCGCGCACATACGAGTAGAAAAAAAAAAGAACTTGCTAAAAAAGTATTATGCTGCTAACGTTTCGATCTGTCCAAACATTTCGTAACAACCTAACCCCTCCTCCCTCCCAGCCCCCCCCCGCTCCTGTCGGAGATCAGTTTCTCGCCCAGCAGAATATAGAGTCCCAGAGTTTGGTGCAACCATAAATAAGCAGCTGAAAGTACCATTGATTTCTGCTCCACTGGCTCTCCGCCAGCTCTCTCTTCTCACTGCCTGCATTATAAATCACACACAGACCTAGAACATAAACATGCATCAAAACACAGGGGAAAGAAATTACAGACCAACTGGAGCTGATAGTTTCTAAACATAAAACCAAAACATATCTCCACACAGACTCGTTAAAGATTGTTCACTTGTAAAAAAAAAAAAAAAAAAAGAAGAAGAAGAAGAAGAAAGGCACGCTACTGGCATCTGCATACAGACATACACCTACCAAGCATGCATCCTGATTCAACTTACACACATCTAACTACAACAAGACAAGCTATCAACAAGACCAACTCAGGCAGGGCAGTCAACGCACACACCATTTATTCACGTGGAATATAAACCTACTTCGTTTCCATGCTATTTGGTGCCAGTATAACCTCATAATTCTCTGCATTCCTGTGCAGTTGTGCCTTTCCCACCTCCCTTCCCTTCACCTTTTGCACGCTGTTGTGCTTCCCCGAGGTTTGCTATTTCAGCTCGGCTTCCCGTCCCCATCCAACAAATTCCAGCTGCAACCATCAAAGAGCTTTCTGCAGACGCTGAATGCAAGAAGGCCTTAGAACTACAGAAGAATAGGATACTACAGAAGCAAAACTTCTAAGGTCCTAGGGTTTTTATATGGGCTGTAAATTTGGGGGGATAATAATTTGTATTGATTGGTACTAACACGTCTGGAAATGTTTGGGGTTGCTCACAACTCACAAGACTTTTTATGATCATCAATAATTACGTAATAAGACGAGCATTTTTTTTTACGCGTTTCATCTTCCAGTTGTTATTCTTGTCTGCGAGAGAAGAAGAATCTTGAGGTCAAAGAGCAATGCCGTATTTTAAAAAAGCTATTTGCATTTTTTGAACTTAAAACCATGTCAAAGGTGAAAGGTTGAGCCGCAACACCTGGAGGGTCACACTCTAATTTTGTCATTCTCTCTCATTTCCTCCTTTTCAGTATTTCAAAGGATAAAAACGGGACCGTTCCAGCTGTAACTGACTCACAAGCCAGGGGTAATGTTTTGACAGGAGGATGTTGATTACCTGACTACATAGGCTTGTAATATTTTTTTAAGGCTGTGCTCACATTATCAGCATGTAGTCATATATAACTACATATATAACTATACTTGAGTTTCAGTAATGGAAAGCTAAATCCTGCCTGTACCTGCCAGGTACTAAATGAGCTGAAAGCCTGTGGCTGGAAGAAGAAAACTAATTTGAACATGTGTGTGCGTATGTGTGTGTACATGTGTGTGTGTGGGTGTACTGCCTCATCCTGGCTGTCCATATGTATCTGTCTGTCCACGTGGATGTGCAGCTGAGACTGATAAACAGCTCTTAGCTTCACGTCCTCTCTTCATCAGTCTGTGTAGAGGAGCTAGGAAACCATTTATCTACCTCCATGTCAGCTTTAGCCATTAGGGTTTAAATCCACTAAGAAACCTAAATAAAGCACTCGGCCCTAGGCTCTCACATCGGCTGGCAAACAGAACTGAAAAAGGCGAGAGAAAAAGGTGCAACCAGCATTTACCAGTTACCGCACTGCGAAATGCTCGATTGTAATGAGGAGTGGAATGATCACCTTTTCCAGCTCATTTGCAGATTTAAGTTAATGTTGAGGTTAGTCATGCTCCAAAAGGCTGACTAAAGGAACAGCGAGATGTGATGGAAAACGAAGAAGGAAGAGTGACGCCACTAAAAAACAAACATTAGCCGGTACTACAAATGTCACTTGATGAAAAGAGATGTTTTGAAATTAAATCAGAGCAGCATTTTCTTTTAATCAATATTTCTATTAATAAAGGCAAACTAAGTCAGTGTAGGCGACTGTTTATACGCTGCAGATCATTTATAATCTGTCCCAACTGTCACCCCATGTGACGTTCCCCTGGGTTCAGTTTTGGGTCCATTACTCTTTGCACACTCTTCATGTGTGCAAATATTAGTAGTTACTGACTGATGTATAAGGAACATGAAAATGAAATACATATGGTTAGCTACGATACTTTGATCATGTCATAATGACAGAAATGCCTTAGCATTTTTTTAAAAACTACTTTCTGTATCTTTGTGAAAACGTAAAAGTTTATGATTTTGTTTTATCATGAATTAGATTCGCACTAATAGATTTCCATGTAAATGTTCCATTACATTTGTCAACCGTAAAGCTCTTTAGCCCTGTTTACCCCATATTGTGGGCTACATCTATTACTTGGGACTTTTTGTTCGGGCACATGTTTAGGTATTTTTGTGCACTTCTTACTTATGATCACTATAAACAATGCCAAAAAGACATGTAAATGAGAACTTCTTGATGTCTCTTCATTGTGGTTTTAGTTTAAAAATGATTTGGTTGCCCTGTACTTTAAGAGAACACACAGACCTGCCAACTGAACCTGTTGTCCCCAGTCACATTGTTCACATAACTCAAGAGTCTGCTCTCAGTTGACCACAGAAAAACCCCATAAAATGACATGACACTAAAAGCAGCCTTGTTTTCTGAAGTATTCATTTAAACCATAAATATAAATGATAACATTTATAGGAGTAAAACTATAACTTAAACAGCACAATTTTAAAATAATTTAGCATAAACCCCCATGCTAAAAATGTTGTGACAATGTGAGATATGTAAGTAAAAACAGAATTTAATGATTTGCAAACTGCATAAACCAATATTTATTAACCAAAAAACAAAAAGATATTAAATATCTAAACTGAGAAAATTTGAAAAAAAAAAAAAAAAGGAGGGGGGGATTCTGGCAACAAGTTTCTAAAAAAGTTGGGACAGGAGCAAGTAGAGGCTGGAAAACTAAACGGTATTACAAAGAAACAGCTGGAATAGCATTTTGCAACTAATTAAGTTCACTGGCAACAGTTTATTAACACAACTGGATACAAAAAAAACATCTTAGAAAGACGGAGATTCTCTGGAGTAGAGAAAGCAAGAAATTCACCAGTCTGCAACAAACTGTGTCTACAATGTGAAACTATTTCAGAATAAGGTTTCTCAATGTAAAATTGCAAAGACAGTACATAATGTCATCAAAACAGGCCGAGAATCTGGAGAAATCTCTGTGAGCAACAGACATGGATAAAAATCAATAACGGATACCCGGGCTCTCAGGCAGCACTGCACTAAAAGCAGGAATGATCCTGTCATAGAAGTCACTGACTGAGCTCAGGAACACTTCCACAGAAGACCATCTTTGAACACAGTTCACAGACAGTGATTTCTGTGTTCTATGTGAATAAAACATGTTTATGAGATTTGTAAATCATTTAATTCTTTTTTTATTTACATTTTGCACAGTGTTGCAACAGTTTTGGAATTGGGGTTGTGTTT